CAATGGGATGGGAAGTGCCATGGGATGGGAAGTGCCATGGGATGGGAAGTGCCATGGGCAGGGAAGGGGCTGTGGGAGGGAAAGTGCCATGGGATGGGAAGGGGCTGTGGGGTGGGAAGGAGCAAAGGCATGGGGAAGGGTCTGTGAGCTGCCATGGGTAGGGAAGCAGCTCAGTGGAGATGGACAACTCTTCCAAACCATCCTGCTGTGAAATGCTGACCAAGCATGTTGAGCAGCACCAGAGCCAGAACAGAGCAGTGTCACCCACAGAGTCACGGGGACATGACACAGCTCACATGTCCTCACCCCACCAGAACAACTGGAGCTGTCTGCAGGGACTCACACCAAGTCCCCCCAACTCTCTCCTTCCTCTGCAGGTGTCCATGCAGTACAACCCTGGCTGGAACAGCTCCTCTGTCAACCTGCTGCACGTGCGTGCGGTGGGACCCAACGACACCCTGCACTACGTCTGGAGCAGCATTGGGGCCCCTGCCGTGCTGCTGGTGGCCACAGACAGCCAGAACAGTGCCCTGCATGTCAACTGGACCCAGCTGCTATCTCCCAGCCCTGCTGGTGCCCTCTGGATCGACCCTCCCAGCAGTGTGGTCTACTCCACTGCTGTTGTCTTCACCAAGGTAGAGCTGAGGAAGGTGATGCCCCATGCAGAGGGTGCCTGGGCAGAGTTGGGCTAGTGGCAGCTTTCCAGAGCTCCTCCTGTGTCCCACCAGGCTGTCAGCTGGAGCTGAAGGTGCCATGCTTGGCCAAGGCAGATCTGCTCTGGTCTCCTCCCACTTCTCATGGACCATGGCACAACACAGTGTCTTCCTGCTGGTGGCTTCAGCCCTTCTCCCCATCCCTCTCCACAGGTGTTTGAGTACAGCGAGGCCAAACCACTGGAAGAGGTTTTCTACCCCACCTATGACCTGTCAGAGTTTTCCTGGGACAGCATCAACCACACTCTGAACCACACAGCCCTGACAGCTGAGCTCACAGGGGTCCCAACCACCGACCCCGGCAGTGGCTTCTCCAACGGCACCTTGACATTCCGGGTCTGTCTGCAGGGGCAGGGTGGGAGGGATACAGGAGAACACAGGGAATATGATGCCCAAACACCCTCAGGAGAGGGAATGCTGCACCTCAGTGTCACAGGTGGTGACTGTGCTGTCCCTCTGCCCATACCTCTCACAGGTGACAGCCTATGAGACCCATGGCCGTGCTGGGCACCTGCCCAACCTCCTGCACACAGCAGACAGCTCCCAGGTGGAGTTTGTCCTGGCTGGGGTCACTCCACGAGGCAACAGCTCCCACTTTGCTCTGGAGGTGGCCACGGTGGAGGAGACAGGAGTGGGGCAGCAGCTGCGCTCGACGCGGTCCATCGATGACGAGTACACCCCGACCATCTTCGAGGTGAGTGTGGGCTCAGCCCGGGCTGGAGAGGTTGACTCTTGATGCTCTTCACCTCACCACCCTCTGCTCTCGCTCCCTAGGTGCTCTCCCTGGTCGCTGAGGCCCAAAACAGCAGCTCAGTGCTCAGTTTCCTGCAGTGGAAGGCGATAGCTTATGGCTCACAGAGCCCTCGGCGTGAGGACAACATCCAGTGCAGAGCTCAGCAGCTCCACGTGGCCAACTGGACCTTGCCCAGGGCCACCATCATCCAGGCCTACTTTGGGGAGGGTGTGGGAAGCACCTACACCATCAGTGCTGTCAATGTCTCCTTCGGGGGAGAGGAGGGAAGGGTGTACCAGGAGAAGCACTACCTCAGCTGGTGAGTGGGGAGATGGTCCTGGTTGTTAAAAGCTCCCTCAGCTGGGGAGTGAGGAGATGCTCCTGGTCACTAAAATCTTCCTCAGCTGATGAGTGAGGAGATGCTTCTGGTCACTAAAACCTCCCTCAGCTGGGGAGTGAGGAGATGCTCCTGGTCATGAAAAACATCCCTCAGTTGGGGAGTGAGGAGATGCTCCTGGTCATGAAAACCTCCCTCAGCTGATGAGTGAGGAGATGCTCCTGATCATGAAAACCTCCCTCAGCTGATGACTGAGGAGATGCTCCTGGTCATGAAAACCTCCCTCAGCTGATGAGTGAGGAGATGCTCCTGATCATGAAAACCTCCCTCAGCTGATGACTGAGGAGATGCTCCTGGTCATGAAAACCTCCCTCAGCTGATGAGTGAGGAGATGCTCCTGGTCTTTAAAAACATGGGGGGCTGGTGAGGCAGAAACTCTCTGTTCCCAAGTCTTGAGATCTCCTGGAGCAAGGAGCTTTGGGGTTTATTGAGGAACCCAGTCCTGCCCCAGGTGGGATCTTGACCTGACCCTCCTCAGGGTGGGAATCCCACTGGTGGTCCATCCCCATCCCTGTGCCTGATTTGTCTCCTCTCCTCCCACAGGTCAGTGCTGCTGGGCTTTGGGCAGCCTCCCACGGACACCTTCTCCCCCCTTGTCATCTCCATCATGGCTGTGGCACTGGGCACCCCCTTGGCCATGCTCCTGCTGGGCAGCTGCCTCGTCCTGCTGGCCCAGAGGAAACGCTACTCGGAGTATGAGCCCATCAACTGAGCAGGACAATCCCCAGGGAGACCCTCCAGGATCCTTCCTGGCCCCAGGAAGCAACCACAGGTGCTGTTAGGGCTCCAGTGCTGTCTCCTCTGCCTCCATCCCTACTCCAAGAGGAGCAGGATGACACTTGGAGGAGTCATTCACATCACATCTCCCTCTGTCCTGCTCCCTCCTACTGCCACATCCTGCATTGGATTGCACTTCTTCCCCTGGGTTGTTTTTTTTTCCTGCTCTATCTAGCCAAGGGAAGCGATGAGGGGAGTTCAGTCAGGGAAAATCCTCCTTCTCCCAAGGGATCAAACCACTGTTGTCCTAGCTGCAGGCAAGCAGCAGCTGGGACTAGCTGTGCACTCTCCAGTGCCACTTCCAGGGATGTTTGGGTGCTTCCAGCCCAGGAGCAGGGCTGGAGAGGGAAGGGCTGGGCACCAGTACCACTCGTGCTAGCACTCAGGGATGTCTTCTTCCTGCTCTGGGGCATCCCAGTAAACCCACCTGCCCCAGGCTCCTCCTTTCTCCACATCCCACTGTGCTGGTCTGGGCCATGAGGGAAGACCTGAGCTGCTTCAGAGAAGCTGCTCCAACTCAGGAGTGTCCTGTTGGCCCATGGAGAGCTGGTCCAGCTGGGATGCTGCTCCTGGGTCCTGCAAGGTGCTGCTCCTGGGTCTTGCAGGATGCTGCTCCTGGTTCTTGCAGGATGCTGCTCCTGGGTCCTGCAGGATGCTTTTCCTGGATTTTGTAGGATGCTGCTCCTGGGTCCATCCAGGATCCTGCTCCTGGGTCCTGCAGGATGCTGCTCCTGCAGGATCCTGTTGGATCCCAGGGCCTGCTCAGGGTTCCCAGAGGTTCTGAGCACCTGGAGCTATGCTGGGCTTTGTGTTCTCCATCACCAACTTGTCTTTAACCAAATAAAGTGGATTTCTAAGTGCAGTTTCCTGTGGGAATGTTGTCCTAGGAGCAGCAGAGACCCCTGAGTGTGGCTGTGCCCAGAGGAGCCTTGTGCTGCCTCCCAGCCCTTGTTTTGGCTTCTCCAGTGCCCAACCTTGGGGCCCTCTCTGGGTGCTGCTGCCCTGAGGAAGGAGCTTTGGTCTGGTGACACCATAGCCAAGTTTCGAAAGAGGATGTGAGAGTTGCTGCTCTGCCCCAAGGGGCACTACAGGAGGTCCCTGTTGAGCTATTTTCTGGGAAATCTCATGTTTTGTTGAGTAGGGAACTGCAGTGTTGCTCTTCCCTGTGCTGGCTTGAGGTACTGAGGATTTTGGAATGAAGTAAAAGGAATCCCAGGACAGAATCTGCCTTGGTTTTACCACTCTGCTCCCAAAGCCACGTTGCCTGCAGTGTGCAGGGAACTGAAATCACTCCAGGCTGGGGATTTCCTGCTGCTGGGAGCTGTTGCTGTACAACTGTGCTGAAATGACCAAGGGAATCATGGAATCACTGAATGGTTTGTGTTGGAAGGAATCTTGGAGGTTATCCAGTTCCATCCCCTGCCCTGGGCAAGGACACCTTGCACTAGACCAAATTGCTCCAAGTCCTATCCAGCCTGGCCTGGAACACTTCCAGGAATGAGGGAGACAGATTCCTGGGAAGCTTCTTGGGGTTTATCTACCCTGGGCAGGTTGTCACCTGCATCACCAGTACTGGGGGTGGGTGTTTTCCTTCCCCCAAACATGTCCTGTTATCATTTTTAGAAGGTACCAGTGAATATCAGTTCTTCAGCTGCTGGATACAAACCTAAGCAAGGAGAAGCAGCAGCATCTGGGGGAGCAGGATGCTCTGGGTAGGGAGAGATCATGTACTCTGGGGGAGCAGGACACTAGTTTGGGGGCCTGGTGGTATCTTCTGGGGCAGCAGGACACTGTGGCTGGGGGGCAGTGGTCATAAGGGTGATGATGTCTTCTGGGGCAGCAGGACACTGTGGC